CGAACGCATCCAACCAGTAGGCTGCATAATACTACGTTTGTATGAACTACCGAGAATTCATTAAAAACAGGGTTACGCCACGGTCTGATCCTCGATATGGCGGGTTCTGCTTATCGCGCAAGTGCTCATTGGCTAGCTGAAATACCGGAACCAGTTAGAAGGCAAGTGTATCTAAGTGTTTTTTCATTGATGATACACTTTAATTTATCAAGGGTAATAAAGATTCTAATGTGTCAGACAAAATCATGTTCTCATTAGGTATGACTTTGCTTTTTACCAATATACCTTCTCACTGAAACTATTAGCTGCTTATATAGGCGATTATGTTGATGCACATAGATTAGATGTAGGGTTGCCGGCAACTTACCTCAAAGAACTCTTATTGAGATGTACGCTCAATGTTCAGTTCGCTTTCCATAATGAGATCTTTAGTTAGATATATGCCATTGCGATAGGATTGCCACTGCGTCCACTGATGGCTGATTGCTTTATAGTAAAGCTTAGAAACTATCAACACAATGAAACCATCAGTCGCTTTGATATTGCTAGAAGATACGTAGACGACACTTTCGTTATCTGAGAGAAGAACGTAATTCCTAATGATATCTTGCTTGCATTCAACAACTGACATCCTTCTCTGCAACTCACCATAGAAAAGGAATCTGAACTAAGCATTCCCTTTCTTGATGTGTGCGTTAGTAGACGCAATGGTGGATCTCTCAAAATTTCCATCCACTGGAAACGTACATGGAATGAACAAGTAACTAATTTTATAGTTGGGTGCTTATATCCAGGAAAGGGGACGTAATTCACCCGCTCTGCTTTAGGATAAAAACATCTGTAGTTCTGACTGCGTTGACTCAGAACCTTCCTTCCTAAAAGCCACGCTCGCAGAAAAAAGAGCTATTCGAACCGATTTACTGACAAAAATACGAAAGATACGCAGTCCAAAACGGGTCACTGACTCAGTTCCAAAGGTAGCCACATTCATGAATTTGGAATTCAAAGGTGATCAGATATGCTTCAGATATGCTCAAAAATCGTCTCTTTAAATCAGTCAGTAAAACATCTTTTGCTTAAAAGTTACAAATGGCGTTCTCTTGTCGTTGTTGTTGTTGTTGTTCTCCACCTCTGTAAAAGATAAGCTGCCCCTTCTGGTTGCCTCCATGTGCATCTATCAGTTGACCTGCTGTTGTGGAGCAAGGCACATTGACCATAGCCAGAGGACGTTTTCCACACAAATAGGAGAACATATCCCAGCATGGTTTTGCAAAGGAAAAGGGGAGGGTGAAGGGAGCCGTATTCCACAACACTTGACCGACTTATGTCACTCTACCAACGCTGACCACGATTTTAAGATCATCTATGGAATTTGTGTCAACTTGCCGCATTTTCTCCGTTCTAAACTCCTAAAAACAGGAGAGGCCTTCTCCATTCTTGAGTTTGAGCCAGACTTTTGTGTATAAAAGAAGTATGTACAATCTGTATTTCTGCAGTGGACGTAGACGGATAAATGCATATCTATCTGTATTTTATTATTGTTACCATTGTGTTTTTCACTCATTTAATTTGCTTGTTTTGTCGATGTACCTTCACCTCATTACTAGTATCATTATTAATCTCATTATTGTTGTTATAATTATTACTGGTATTCTCACTTTGAAGCATTTCCACTTATCCCCGCTGCCATTCAAAATCAAAAATACTTGTTTGCAATGTTGACTTCCATCCAATTGAATTTTATACCATGTTATGTAACGTTTCATCTTCGCCTACTAACCCCGTGGCGCAACTGGTACTCCATATGATCGTAACATAGTAGACAGAGTTTACCAGGAATTAGAAGCGAGAATCGATCTATCAAGAGTAAGTTGTTCTTCTTTTCAATTGTTGTTTTTGCGGGGATTTGTTCGGTTACAGGATTTTATCATGAGCGCCTAACGGGACTCGAACCCCGGACCACGTGGATGGTCGGCCAGCGCCATACCGATTAATCACTGACACACACTACCTTACATTATTCCTGCTCCTTTCTCTGTGCTTGTACTGATCGAAAAGAATGAATGTATCTGCACCCCTGACAATGATACGGAATAACGATTTGAATAAGTCACATAACAAGAAAGTTCAAATTCCAAGCTAATAAAAATGTTCATTACATACTAAAACCTGCACTGAAGTGATGTTGTCTTGAAGGTAGACAACAAAAGCTTTGAAATGAAAGCAATTATCTTCTCAGAGAAAACAACTAAATCAATGTCATCATCCTGAGCTAAAAATCTCCTCTATTATTTCATAACCAAACAATGGCAAATGGCAATCAACCTAGAAATACCAATCACGCCTAAATAACTTATTTCTCAGGTTATCATTGTTTGGTGATGAGTGAAACAGGTGTAGATCTTCGAGGATAAATCACTTATTCAGAGGGAAACATCAAAGGCGCAATAACACTTAACTGTTTACTCACCTGAAGACTTCTACATCTTAAATTGTAAGCTTTCCTTATTCGAATTAAACGCTGCATTAGATCAGCTGATTCCCTGGTGTTCGCATTGTTTGAAATCATTTCTTGGTATAATTTTTGATACTCACGTAACTGTTCACCCAATATCTGTAAATAATTTTCTAATAACAACATCAGAAACCAAAAGTTATTAAGCTCGAAAATTCTTACGTAACCCACAGTGAATGTATTATATAGCATAGCTTCACTTTTAAAGCTTTTCGACTAATAAATGCCTAGGGTCTTTGAATTCTACCCAGAACCCCATAGCAATAAGAATGAGTACCAATCATTAACAAACATGATTACAGTTTAGACAATGATAGTAGACTAGAGCATACATATTTGTTTGACTGCTCAAGTAACATCGGAATTAGGAAAAATGAATCAAACATTCCATTTCTGGACGTAGAATTGACAAGAAGACATGATGGAATTCCAAAAACATCTATACACAGCAAACCAACTGAAAAGTTTCCACGGTTGGATACTTGTCAGTTGAAAAAAGATCTCTAGTCATCCCAGTCGCCTACCGAATCAGAAGGATTTTCACAAGTGACTGCTTAAAAGAGCTCTTATTTTTCAGAAATATTCTGGCTCAAAACGGATACCCAACGCATGAAACCAAAGCCAAAAAGAGAAGAAGACACTTCAGGACCAGAAGAAAAAATTGTATATGAATTTGGACTTCAGGAGAAGCTTCGTGGAAGATATCCTAAAGTGGAGAATCTCGAGTTGCCTAAAGAAGACCTTTCCTGCAGCAACATTATGAGTGGTATTCTTTAGCCACCCACTACTTCCAAGCAATGTATATGACCACTTCAGCGAGCATATATCAGTAAGCCTGTTTGTGCGGGGCTAGATACACAGGTCGTTTTATGTGTGTCTTATCAAAACGTCTCAGAGAACATTACCCAGCATGGCTGCAAAGAGAAGGCACTGATTCAATCAGAAGCGCCATAATTGAACACCTCGTCAGCACCTGTCACAACATCTCAACTGACTAATCTATCATTCAGAGTTGCTAACAAAGTAAACGAAAATCAGCTAGAAGCAGTATGTTTCCGTCTTCTTTGTACTGCAGAAGCTCCTCACCATATGCGTCAGAAAACTGAAGCTATGCGTTCAAAATGAAACGAGTCCAACCTCTACATTTACAATGGATCTAGTTCGGTTTGTTTCCTTAGGTCTCATTGTTTTATCCCCTTCATTTTTTATTGTTTTAATTTGCTTCCATGCTCATCCAATTCACGCCCATCAGTATCCGTCAAAATCTATTTTCTATTCTCATCCTGAGTAAGTTTATTTCTAAGCACCTCATAAACTACATTCACACTCTCGAACGTTCAAATCAAATTAACAATTATTATCACTTTTAACCTTCTCCTCCGTTATTATGTGGAATTAGATAGGAATGATTGCATCTAAGTAAACTTATGCACATAAATGCGATTGCGCAGCTACCCTTTTGAGAATGAAATTGCCGAGAAGACTTCTTGTTCTTTTCTCTCTAATACTGAAGTAAAAGCAACAGTGTGTACCAGTTATAGTGAGAGATGAGGCAAAATTTCACTGATGTGTGGTATTTTGTCGTTTTGTAAAACTCAGTTCATTAGAGAAAGCTTTCTGCATGCGAGTCACACACATCTATTGTGTGAGGACTAAAAGATACAGCATAGTTTCCTTGGCTACGGTAGGTAGAGAGGGATTCGAGCCGGAGAGCCACTGGTTGAAAGTCGATCATCTAAATCAGTGAACAACGTATCAACCCAGTATTTATCTGATATGTGACCATCTTCACTTATTCATTATACAACGCAACTGCCATCATCGTAATTCGAAAAGCAGAGCAAACCTATAACCAATCAAATCCATTGAGAACAACACTTGGTCACCAATGTGATGCTCACCAGCTACTGGTCATATACATGAAGTTACCTGGAATTCTAGTGCGAATTTGTAATCAGTAAGGGGAACCAAGTGAGACAACTAAACAGTTACTTGTCTGTGATATCGGTAGGTGGTTGCGTGATATATATCGCGAATTGGCAGAAGTTGGAATCCACGGGCTGACAATTTAGTCAGGCCCCAGTAGCTGAGAATGATCTACGAGCTCACCTTGTAACGCGAAGGTCCTGGGTTAGAACCCCGTGGTAGGTACGGGCTACTGAACAGTCCCAAACTAGGAAAAAATGGCTAAGATGGATATCAGGTTTGAGTAAAGTTATGCTGGTCGTTATGGAGATGAGACTCATTAGTGTAAGCACTCGACACTCAGTCAGCTCGAACCCCTGGCCAACAGATTTGTATCATCACTCTTCAAAACGATAATTTTCTGGTCTTACAGCCTATATAAATGAAATATCACTTTCCAAGGATTAACTTCAGACAACATGATATTTCCAGATCAGAGAGTGACTTAGATTTTCAGACAAACACACAACTCATCCAATGACTTGAATCCATAGACTGAACGAAAGCTATATCACCAGCAACAGAAACAATATTCACATACTGTTGGTGACTGAACATTCAATATCACGATTGCAACGATTGTTTGTTGCATTCCTCATTCCATGACTCAGCGCTATTTGATAATGGCTGTTCAATATTATCACTAGTATTGCTATCTGTTATACTTATGTTAGCATTTCCTGATGAATTTTCGATAGATTTTAGTCCACTATGAATATTTTCAAAACCAAACTGTTCTTCTATAGAATGTAGCCTTTCTTTTAGACATGAAATTGTCGACTTCTTATTTCGAGCAGTTAACGATGATTTCTCCATTTTGATTTGACTCGAAAAATTATCCTTTATTTTTCGAGTCAAATCAAAATGGAGAAATCATCGTTAACTGCTCGAAATAGATTTTGACGGATACTGATGGGCGTGAATTGGATGAGCATGGAAGCAAATTAAAACAATAAAAAATGAAGGGGATAAAACAATGAGACCTAAGGAAACAAACCGAACTAGATCCATTGTAAATGTAGAGGTTGGACTCGTTTCATTTTGAACGCATAGCTTCAGTTTTCTGACGCATATGGTGAGGAGCTTCTGCAGTACAAAGAAGACGGAAACATACTGCTTCTAGCTGATTTTCGTTTACTTTGTTAGCAACTCTGAATGATAGATTAGTCAGTTGAGATGTTGTGACAGGTGCTGACGAGGTGTTCAATTATGGCGCTTCTGATTGAATCAGTGCCTTCTCTTTGCAGCCATGCTGGGTAATGTTCTCTGAGACGTTTTGATAAGACACACATAAAACGACCTGTGTATCTAGCCCCGCACAAACAGGCTTACTGATATATGCTCGCTGAAGTGGTCATATACATTGCTTGGAAGTAGTGGGTGGCTAAAGAATACCACTCATAATGTTGCTGCAGGAAAGGTCTTCTTTAGGCAACTCGAGATTCTCCACTTTAGGATATCTTCCACGAAGCTTCTCCTGAAGTCCAAATTCATATACAATTTTTTCTTCTGGTCCTGAAGTGTCTTCTTCTCTTTTTGGCTTTGGTTTCATGCGTTGGGTATCCGTTTTGAGCCAGAATATTTCTGAAAAATAAGAGCTCTTTTAAGCAGTCACTTGTGAAAATCCTTCTGATTCGGTAGGCGACTGGGATGACTAGAGATCTTTTTTCAACTGACAAGTATCCAACCGTGGAAACTTTTCAGTTGGTTTGCTGTGTATAGATGTTTTTGGAATTCCATCATGTCTTCTTGTCAATTCTACGTCCAGAAATGGAATGTTTGATTCATTTTTCCTAATTCCGATGTTACTTGAGCAGTCAAACAAATATGTATGCTCTAGTCTACTATCATTGTCTAAACTGTAATCATGTTTGTTAATGATTGGTACTCATTCTTATTGCTATGGGGTTCTGGGTAGAATTCAAAGACCCTAGGCATTTATTAGTCGAAAAGCTTTAAAAGTGAAGCTATGCTATATAATACATTCACTGTGGGTTACGTAAGAATTTTCGAGCTTAATAACTTTTGGTTTCTGATGTTGTTATTAGAAAATTATTTACAGATATTGGGTGAACAGTTACGTGAGTATCAAAAATTATACCAAGAAATGATTTCAAACAATGCGAACACCAGGGAATCAGCTGATCTAATGCAGCGTTTAATTCGAATAAGGAAAGCTTACAATTTAAGATGTAGAAGTCTTCAGGTGAGTAAACAGTTAAGTGTTATTGCGCCTTTGATGTTTCCCTCTGAATAAGTGAGTTATCCTCGAAGATCTACACCTGTTTCACTCATCACCAAACAATGATAACCTGAGAAATAAGTTATTTAGGCGTGATTGGTATTTCTAGGTTGATTGCCATTTGCCATTGTTTGGTTATGAAATAATAGAGGAGATTTTTAGCTCAGGATGATGACATTGATTTAGTTGTTTTCTCTGAGAAGATAATTGCTTTCATTTCAAAGCTTTTGTTGTCTACCTTCAAGACAACATCACTTCAGTGCAGGTTTTAGTATGTAATGAACATTTTTATTAGCTTGGAATTTGAACTTTCTTGTTATGTGACTTATTCAAATCGTTATTCCGTATCATTGTCAGGGGTGCAGATACATTCATTCTTTTCGATCAGTACAAGCACAGAGAAAGGAGCAGGAATAATGTAAGGTAGTGTGTGTCAGTGATTAATCGGTATGGCGCTGGCCGACCATCCACGTGGTCCGGGGTTCGAGTCCCGTTAGGCGCTCATGATAAAATCCTGTAACCGAACAAATCCCCGCAAAAACAACAATTGAAAAGAAGAACAACTTACTCTTGATAGATCGATTCTCGCTTCTAATTCCTGGTAAACTTTGTCTACTATATTACGATCATATGGAGTACCAGTTGCGCAACCAATAGAATTGCAATAATATAATAATATTATAATAATTATAATAATAATAATTGATAAGACAGACATAAAACGACCTGTGTATCTAGCCCCGCACAAACAGGCTTACTGATATATGCTCGCTGAAGTGGTCATATACATTGCTTGGAAGTAGTGGGTGGCTAAAGAATACCACTCATAATGTTGCTGCAGGAAAGGTCTTCTTTAGGCAACTCGAGATTCTCCACTTTAGGATATCTTCCACGAAGCTTCTCCTGAAGTCCAAATTCATATACAATTTTTTCTTCTGGTCCTGAAGTGTCTTCTTCTCTTTTTGGCTTTGGTTTCATGCGTTGGGTATCCGTTTTGAGCCAGAATATTTCTGAAAAATAAGAGCTCTTTTAAGCAGTCACTTGTGAAAATCCTTCTGATTCGGTAGGCGACTGGGATGACTAGAGATCTTTTTTCAACTGACAAGTATCCAACCGTGGAAACTTTTCAGTTGGTTTGCTGTGTATAGATGTTTTTGGAATTCCATCATGTCTTCTTGTCAATTCTACGTCCAGAAATGGAATGTTTGATTCATTTTTCCTAATTCCGATGTTACTTGAGCAGTCAAACAAATATGTATGCTCTAGTCTACTATCATTGTCTAAACTGTATCATATTATGTTTCTTAATTGGATCTATAAGGTGTTTAACCTGACAAAGTTTATTTCTGAGATATTTGGTTAGTTGGTAGGTTGGTTGGTTTAAATGCCACCCCGCCTAATTCCAGCCTCGTTCAGAATCCTATGTAAGGCCCCTGACGTTCCCTCTCTATATGTCAGTACTACAGTGGATTTAAAATTCCATATTTCCTTCCTTATTTTCGTCATTTGCATTACTCGTCTTGTCTTTTCCTATGGTTCTTCGTATATTTCTGAATAAATTCTGGTGGGTAGTGTGTTATTCCCTAGTAATATTTGCTTTATTTGTTCAACTTCCTTACTTAAATCTTCTGACTCACTAGTTAGTTAGTTAAGCTTCTGTGCTTATCATACATGTAAATAGACATTTAACTAAACCTATTTTCCTTTAACGATTCTCAATGAGATGAATTAAAGTCTAAGTATTTATTTATCAATAAAGTGTGTGAGTTGATTTCCTATACATACTAGCTGTTATCTAGCCCACCTCTAAACCTCTCTATCTACACCTCAAATCAACCGTCGAATTTTATTTTCAATTGCAAAAGTTTAACAGATCAAGGATGCCGAAATAAACATATCCTAAAAATGTGTTTAAGAGGAAAGTGTGTTCCTTTTCCAGTGGATTAAAAGATTAACTAACCCTTTAATAATAATAATAATAGTAATTATCCCTATTTAGAGATTAAATATAATGCATATATAAATAAATATAGAATACGAGTTAGATGTAGCACAGGTGTCAACAATGAGATACATGTGTGTACACTACATTAATGACCATTATATAACATTCAAAACATGCATATTTTAGGCAATGTTTCTTTTAAGTGAAATTATATTTACATGTTAATACAATGCACGATTGTATAAATTGCATTTAAGTATTTCTAAAAGACAAAGGCAACAGTAATCTTAGTAGATTAGTAGCAGGTACAATCCTTAGAAGTTAGAAGAAGAAGAAGAGGACAAACAACACCAACACCAATAAGTCCATAAGACTAGATACATCGGCATAGAATGTATTTCAAAGCATGCGGATAAATCCATATAGATATAGATATACATTTTAAAAAACGTTACAAAGTATAAGTTAATAACACTGTTGGACATATGAAGGATACCAATTGTTGCATACAATGTATACAAATATAGATCATATTAATACTGTTAGTATAAACTGTTTAGTTGACATGCCTTCTTACCAATTAACTTGAAATGAATATCAGCCCAATTCTTCAAGAACACACTAAAATCATACCATTAGTATACGTAAGTATAATATATATATATATATATATATATATATACATGCCAGAACAAGATGATTTTGAGCGAACAATTGTTCTGGATAACTTCTTCCTCAGATTCTACACAGTGATAAATCCGTGAATATTAGAATGCAAATAGCCAGTGAAGGCGAGTGAAAATTATATCAGGAACTGTCTGTATTGGGGTACATACATACATAAGATATATAAGTCATAGAATTACGCACACATGTTGGAAGGATTGTATTGAAGATGTAAACGAAGATCTTAAAAATACCCTTCTACAAAAAGTGGTTATCATACCAATTTTGTTAAGAAGTATATTTCCAAAAGAACTAATAAAGTTAAGCGTGATACAGTGAATAAGAAAAGGTTTTATTTAAGAGTACAGTTCAAAGTTGATATACTAAGCCGTAGGTTGATCAGGTCAATTGAGAGAACTTTCAATGCTTCAGAAGTACACATCGGTTTCTTAACCACACTGGCATCGACACGGTGCACCAAAGATAAATTACCAAACATGGACACATCAGTGTGCGTATAAAAATTCAACCGCTCATGTGGAGTTAGTTATATAGGTCAAACTCAGAGGAATTTATCTTTGCGCTCCACTGAACATGTTTCTGTTTTGCCTGGAAAAAGTGTGACTAAATAAATAGTCTCATCTAGTGGATTGTGAACACCATATCAAAATAGATGACCCTAAAGGCATACGATTACGTCTCTTAGATACACCGAAAGCTATGGAGATTAGGAAGAAGAAACCTGACTTATATATGTGCAAAAAAGCACATTCATCCTCTTTTGCTTACCCTGGCCTACTGTAAGGTCAGCAGAGACGTAATCATGTCACATATTCACATCGTATTGTGCCTTTCTTATTCCTTTTCACCTAGTTCACTTCACTCCATTATTATCCCTATTATGTGTGGACCTTATTATGTCTCTAGTATTTTATTACAATTCACAATTTAACCTATTTATTT